GAGAAATTTTAAGTTCAAATGCTTTCCTCTCCCCCATTTTTGTTCCCCTCCAAAAATAAGAAAATTTGTTCGAGAGGAAAATTTTCAAGTCATTCAATTACAATTTTACCTTTATTACATATAATATTTTTTTTTTGTTTTTATTTCTAACATCATTAAGGATATATTTGTTATTCTAACATTATTTTTCATTATCCTCTAACAAAATCCTTCTAAAGAAAGTAAAATTATTTATACATTATCTCCCGTTCCCTTCTCCCCACTCCAATAAAACCCCTCCACTCACTCTCTGCTGAACCAAACATACCCTAAGCCTATGTTTGGTTCGGGGGAAACGGAGGGGAGGGGAAGGGAGGGGAGGGAAAATTTTATTTCCCCTTGTTTGGTTCAACTTTTTGTAAGGGTGAGGGGTTTAAATTTTCCCTTCAATTCCCTCCTCCAAGGGAAAATGTGCTCCCCTCCAAAAGTGAGGGAATTTGGAGGGGAGGGAAAATTTTAAAAACAATTTACTTTTTTGACCTTACTGTGAATTATTTTATTTTTTTTGTTTCTTACATCATTAAAGATATATTTGTCATTCTAACATTATTTTTCCTCCCCTTCCATCTTCTAACCAAACAAGGTTAATCATTTTCCTTCACCTCCCTTCCTACAAAATCCATCCAAACAAGATAAATTATTTTCCCTCCCTTCCATCCATTAAATTCCCTCCCCTCCCCTCACCTCCTTTGAACCAAACATACCGTAAATGTAATATTGGATGTGAAGGTGGGGTCCTTTTCTTTTAGCCGGAAGATTGCAAGCATCAACTCAATTAATAAACCCAGAATCTGGCAAACCTATCAATCATCTCAAAACTAAGTGCTAAATTTTTTTTACTCATCAAAACTAATCTGAAAGACTACAATAGATTTTCCTCAGCCAAGAAAACAATCTTGATTACAAATACACATGATTCCGAGAGACGATCAATAAAAACCATCAAACCCATCACCAAAATCTCCATGGATCCTTGTAAGGAGGTACATAGTTTTCTGTAGGAGGGAGAAGCCGAAAAGACGCCACACTCTTCTCCAAGACAGGTCCCATCTGCATAATGAGGCATAACAATCATCAAAATAAATCCTTTTCTTTTAAACATATTTCATATCTATATGCATTGATAAAAATAATACGATTCAAAATTCCAATGATTCGTAGCAAAAGTTGTGCTTACTTTATCCCATTGCTTGCTCAAAGTTGAAGCGCTGAGAGTGTACAAATAACCTGTGGTGATATAATTCTTCAATAACTTAACCAGGACAAAAAAAACCAGGAAAAAATAAAAAGAAAAAAACAAAGGCAGCAATCTATTTAGCATAAAATCGTGGGAACGGATTCATAAACCGAAAGGACTTGCTAAAAAATGAACGATTTATTTTTTCTATTTTGATTCAAGAAATTCGAACTATCCTGTATTTAATGTCCTGAATTTGTAGCTGGAAAAATTAATAAACTCAAAATGGTGGGCCGCAAAAACTCATATAAGCACACTATATTACCATCACGTGTAGCTGTTGAGGCTACAAAATGTCGATAAAGGTTTGACTCCTGAGCCTGCATAATTCAACAAAAAAACAGTATCATGGTTAATTACCCTTACTTTGTATTCGTCCTCACTTATCTAACAAATAAGATAACTTACATTTTTGGTTGGAGACTTGCGTACCAAATATTCATAATACCAATATGGCTCGCCATCAACCTGAAGGAAAATTATAGTGAGCTCTATTTGTGCAAAATTGTTACATAGAACTTACTACAGAAGAACAACTTACTATGGAAGAATGTGCATCAAGGACTGAACTTTCGTCCATTCGTTGACTTGAGGTAACCCGCTGTGACAAGATATTACAAGTTAATTTGCTGCGATAAAATATTGCAGTTTAATCTTAAAAACATATATTGAAAATAAACCAACTATCTATGGAGAAGCTAGAAGTTCCGTAGAGAGATGTGTTATCACTAATATGATGTAGATAACAAACTGAACGCTAACAAAATAGAGTCTAACATAAGGTATCATGATTTGGAAAAAGGCACTTTCAGCTGTGGTTAATATACAGAGTCAACATAAACAAGTGAACTTTAGCTGGGCTGCAGGTAGCAATTATTCCTAATAACCACTCCTGTGGGTGATTACCCAAAAAAAAAAAAAAAAAAGATAAAGTTCTAGCATTACAAGAAATCCAGGTTTGGTTCCTCCTTTTCTGGATTTCTCTTTTTCAACTAATATCCCAAATATGAAGGATAGCTTTTGTAGTTATCTTAAACATACTTTCCAACCACGTAATTTACACGAACCTCCACAACCATGAGAACATAAAAGACTTCCATACGTGTTAAACATAAGAACAAAGTACCAGAGCAGACTTGTCAGCTAAAACGGAATCAGCAACATCTTTCGCGCTCCACGTACTGGTGTCTTTAGATTTCAAGACAAGTGAGTTGGGGGGTCCTATCTGAAACAAGGAGTGAAAGTAAAAGTCTCAGGTGAAATACACTGAATTTTGTTATTTTTTCAGATTGTGGGTAACAATATAGTCAAATTAAATTACCGAAACTGAGATTATGAGATTATCAATAAAATCAACCCTCTCGGACACAATGCGAAGGCGTGCATCAGCTGTATAATTGCCAACAAATATATAGGTAAGCTCACAGATGATTACGTAATGCCTCGTTTCAGTAAAAAAAAAAAATGAAAATAAAAAAAATCAAGACATCATCAGAATTTCCACATAATCAGACTTTAATGAGATGGATTACAAAGTGATCATCCTAATTTTCATGATTAAAGATGTTAATAGCTGACTTACGGGACAGTGGTGCAGCTGAAGAATAACGTTCCGGCTTTCTAGATTCCACCCTTCAAATAGATGAAAAGAGTGAGGTTCCTACAATTTAGCGATGCAAAATCATAAAGTAGGGAACAAAATTCAAATAAATCCAATAAACATTGACTTATCTTTTTATTCTCGTATTCAAAGACATGGTATCATACTTTAACTTTTATATCATGCGATTCAGAATGCAGAAACAATATTTTGGAATATGGCCCAAAATTACATGGAGTTACGGAACAAGGGCTTAAAAAGTCAACAACTATATATTACTCCCTCCTATTTTTAATAAGTGTCGTTTTGAGAAGTTGCACAGTTATTAAGAATATTTTTTCTGCCAATAATAACCCTCGTTAATTAGGATAGAGATGAATGTTTTGTGAAAAGATGAAGAGTGAATATGAAAAGACGTAGTGTATTTATTAGCTAGATGAGGGTAATAATGGAAAAATATGTACAAAATAACCAAAACGACATTTATTTTATTAATAGTTGATAATGCCAAAATGACATTTAAAAGGAATAGGATGTAGTAGTTGATTAAAACAATCAAAAGTGAAAAATTCAATAACACCAAAATCACTGATTATCAAAATTTGAGCATCAGAGTAAGTGTTACCATTTGAAGACAAACTTATCAGACGGCAATTCTTTCGGATACATATACGAATAAGCATTAATATCATCAACGAAAATGTCCATTTTCAGCTCTTCCTCAACACTAGATCCTGTAGCAAATGCAACATCCATCGAGAATCTAATCAATTCCCATATTAAGACATCTACTCAAACGATGTCCGCTGAGAATAACGAAAGAATTGTTTCCATGCCCAACACGAAGACATTTTTATTAGAATACAAATATACATTCAAAAATGTTTTGGGTACTGTAATCCCACCCAGCCTTCATGTATCAGAAACAAGACCACTCATAGCAACTGGAAACACACATTAAAGAAAAAATAAGAATGCAAAAATGTAAATAACAGCTCAAGAACACACATGCTAAAACTCCGAAAATATATCGACAACATTGTAAGGAACTGGTAAAAATTCAGTCATTAGATAGCTTATAAGTCGGAATTCAATAAGAATCAAAGTAATTGGATTTTTTCAACACACCTGAAATTGGAAAAATTAGAGAAAATGAGGAAGAAAATCCAGCGAGCATTAAATCCCTCCTCAAAACCCCAATTTGCGAAGAATCAGTAAGACCAGCAGTTGTCTTCCTCATGCTACAGCACATTTTGGGTTTCTTATGGGAAGTAACAGACAATTTGAGAGCATTATTCCTGCAGCCAACGAAAACCAAAAGCACAAAGATAAAAATCATCAAAACCAACAAAAAATACACAGTTGCATATGTATGTATATAGTGTTAAATATATATACTGTAATTGAGAAAGAGGGAACCTAAAGACCGCGAGATTTGGAATGAGAGAGCGATGATATCTTATTGACGGAAGTGCTGTCGCCATTGGTGCTTGCACTCGTCCGCTGGGTTTGAAAGGATATAATTTGTATATCCAGAAAATTGCAAACTTTTTAGTTTCAAGGGACCAGTTTCAGAGGGGACCAGTTTGTTTCAGGATTTAACGTTAGTTTTGGGCTGAAACGAATCTGTTTGGGAGCAAGTTGCTAAGTCTCCGAATTACGTTATTAAAGTCAAAACCGACGTAGAGAAGATCAAAATCAACTTTACGAAGACCAAGAATTCGTGTTCTTCACGTTCTTGGGAAATCACGACGTTCGATTCAAAATCAAGCTGTCAAGCACTCGAAGAAACGTTATTTAAATTCAAGTTCAAGACCGGCAAAGATTGATGTAGAACGTAGTACAATTGGGAATAAAATGAGATACTCTCTCAAGAACGAACATTCAGAATTTTCAATTCATCAATAATCTGATGTTTATTTCGTTCCATACAGCATTAATACGAAAGGGAAATAAAATAAGAATCTTACTCTTGTCAAAACACTGCAAGCCCTTTATTTTTCTACCATAATTAATAAAGCAAGCAAAAGAAATAAAACTAAAAGAGTACTAATAATAATATGAAATAAATAAACTAAACTTGGAGTCGGTCGTATTTATTCAGATACGCGATCGCAGTCTCGTCTTCATCATCATCCCCCGGTTGAGGAGGATTCGGTCTCGAATCCGAACCGGTCTCGTCTTCATCGGAATTGTCGCCCACAAAAGACACCAAATGCTTCACATTGAACACATCCGACGTACGAATATGTGAAGGAAGACGAAGACAATAAGCATTCGGATTGATCTTCTCAATGACCTCCACCGGACCAATCTTGCGGGCCGACAATTTATTAAACTCGTGGGTCGAGAACCGGTCCTTCGTCAACACGGCCCAAACAAAATCACCAACTGAAAACTCGACATGGCGACGCCTCAAATCCGCGCGGCGCTTGTAGGCCTCGGTCGTGGCCTCCAGCTGGGCCCGCGCCGCCGCATGAGTCGCTTTCAGATCGGCGACAAGGTTGACAGCCCGACGATCGCCACCCACCGAAGACGGCAGCGCCACCAAATCCGATGGTCCGCGGGGCTGGATAGCATAAACGGTCTCGAACGGGGAGAGGCCCGTGGCCCTACTGACAGCCGAATTATGAGCAAATTCAGCCTGGCTCAAACGTTGCTCCCAACTGCGAAGATTATCGCCCACCAAGCAACGAAGTAAGTTGCCCAAAGAACGATTCACTACCTCTGTCTGGCCGTCCGTCTGAGGGTGGTACGCGCTACTGAAGTCCAAGCGAGTATTCGCCATGCGTCACAAACTACGCCAAAAGTGGCTGAGAAAGCGTGTGTCACGATCCGACACTATCGACGATGGAAGGCCACGGAGACGGTAAACCTCGCGAAAGAATAGCTGCGCCACATGAACCGCATCGGTGGTGCATTTGCACGGGATAAAATGAACCATCTTTGAAAATATGTCAACGACCACATAGATGGAGTCAAAACCCCGCTGAGTACGAGGCAAACCCAATACAAAATCCATGCTAATCGCACTCCACGAATGCGAAGGAATAGAAAGGGAGCGGTAAAGCCCGACGTTCGACGCAACCCCTTTCGAAACGTGACAGACACGACAACGCTCAACAAACCGGCCTACATCCCGACGAAGCGAAGGCAAAAAATAAGTCTGCGCGACCAAAAGAACCGAACGATCAAGGCCAACCTGACCAGCGCCATGCAGATCGCCAATGAGCTTCACGCGCAGACTACAGTCCGGAATACAAAGTCGCACACCTCGAAACAAAAACCCATAAGACAAGCAATAATCATCAACCGGACCGACCGCGAGGCGCTGGATAAAAGGCCCAAAAAACGAGTCATCAGCATAAAGCTCCTTCAACACATCGAACCCTACAACAAAAACTCGCATATCCGTCAACAATAGAGCCCGTCGGCTCAAAGCGTCGGCCACTTTGTTCGAAACCCCCGAACGATGCCGAAGGACAAAGGTAAACTGCTGTAGAAAAGCAGTCCACGAGGCATGACGAGCCAAAATATTATCTTGGGATGCGAGATGGCGCAAAGCCTCATGATCAGTTTGTACAAGATGAACTCACGATGAAAGAGGTAATGGCGCCAATGTCGGACTGCACGAACAATGGCATAAAACTCCACGTCATGTGTTGTACCGGGTCCTCGGGCCCGACAGCTTCTCGCTGAAGAACGAAACCGGACGGCCAGGAGCCCCAATCCTGACCTTCAAGGCGTCACAAGAGAGCTCAAACGGTCTCAAAAAATCTGACAAGACGAGCAGTGGAGCGGAAGTCAATTGCTCTTTATCAGAGCGAATGCAGCCTCAGCCTCGGGAGTCCAAACGAAAGACTTGCCAGTAAGGCAATTGGTTATAGGAGCCGTAATCATGCTAAAGTGGAGAAATGAAACGGCGGTAGAAGGAAGCTAGACCGTGAAAACTTCGAGCTTCCGTGAAAGTCAATGGAGATGGCCAATCACGGATAGCAGCAACCTTACCCTCGTCCACACGAATACCCTGTGCTGATATCACAAATCCCAAAAATAAAATAGAATCGACCAAGAAGAAACACTGACGAGAGCAGCAAAAAAAGACTCAGCACGCAACACTAGTAAGACCTCACGAACATGTTGCAAGTGCTCCTCTAGTGTCCTGCTGTAGACAAGAATATTGTCGAAATAAACGACAACACTCTTGCCGATAAAGTCCTGAAGTGCTTGGTTCATCACTCGCATAAACGTGCTCGGGGCATTAGACAGCCCGAAGGGCATCACCATCCACTCGAAAAGCCTCTCACGAATCTTGAACGCCGTCTTCCACTCGTCTCCCGGGCGAATCCTAATCTGATGATAACCGCTACAAAGATCCAACTTAGTGAAAATGGTAGCACCATGGACCTGATCCAACAAGTCATCCAACCGAGGAATTGGAAACTGGTACCGGACTGTGATCTTGTTGATGGATCGGCTATCCACACATATCCTCCATGAATCGTCCTTCTTTGGAATGAGAAGGGCTGGCACCGCACAAGGACTCAGGCTACGGCGGACCACACCACGCTGGAGGAGTTCCTCGACCTGTCGCCATAACTCCTCATGTTCTGCTGGGCTCATCCTATAGTGCGGTTGATTTGGCAAAGAAGCCCCATGAACTAAATCGATGTGGTGCTGGATGTCACGAAGTGGAGGCAAACCCGACGGGAGATCCTCTAGAAACACACCAGCGAACTCCGATAAAAGAGGACAAATGGCAGCCGGTGGTGCACTTCCCTCACCTGTGTCAACCCCAACGAGCAACAATACCAACGGGGCATCACGCATAGCCGACAAAAAGGCCGACTGCGAGAAAACAAAACCGGGGACGTGGAACTCGGCGATGGCGCGGGGCGAGGTGCAGTTGGCAACAAAATAATCTTCACCCTGCCAAAAACAAACGAATAAGTGTTGAGGCGACCGTCATGGGTCGCTGCCCGATCGTACTGCCACGGGTGACCCAACAACAAATGGCAAGCATCCATGGGAACCACATCGCACCACAACTTGTCCCGGTAAGTCAGACAAACAGAGAATGAAACAAGAGGCTGACGATCAACGGTAACTGCTGTCCCTTTCTGAATCCATGCAAGCGTATATGGATGAAGGTAGGGCTCAGTAGACAGCTGCAATTTGTCGACTGCCTCACGGGCGACGACATTCTCAGAAGAGCCAGAGTCTATAATAAAACGGCACACTTTGGTCCCAACCGTGCACGTAGACTCGAACAGATGGTGCCTCTCTGCGGGTGTATCAATCGACCCTCGTGGTACCAAACAAGAATGACGAAGGACCAGAGCCGTACCCACATCTCCGGCCACATACTCCTCAACCTCTCTTTGTTCGACATCGAACACCGCGGGTCCCATATAACCCTCGCCGGTAATAAAATCCCCCACATCCTCAGTGAACAATACACGTGGGGCCGCACCCTTCGGACATACCGCCTGCCGATGGCCAATCTCCCCACACCCGAAACAGCGGAGGCTCGCAACTGCACGGGAAGCCGCCGGTGTGAGCTGTTTTCCGCTACCTCCTGCTGGCCGCCGGTAAGGCCCGCCAGCCCCCGTAGTGCGCGCCGTGACTGCCCCTGGACCAATACCGCCACTCGCCGCGACCATGGGTCGTGGCTGAAACCCCCGGCGCCCGTTGCATCCCCGGGTGAGAGGTCGAACCGAACGTGGGACCTGACTTTTGTGCCTGCTGAACCTCAACAAGGAAAGCCTGTTGGTGAGCATCTGAAACTGAATCCGGGCGAAAGAGATTCAACGTGTCCCGCAGTGATGAACGTAACCCACCGACATAACGGGACACCAACTGATTTTTAGTCTCACGTAACTCAACACGGGTCAAGAGACGATAAACTCTGAAGTGTACTCATCCACCGAACGAGAACCATGTCGCAAATTCTGTAATTGCTGATATACGAGGCTATCGTAGTTGTAAGGCATGAACTCACGCTCCACAAATTTACGAAAGTTCATCCAAGAAGTTAATTCTGGCTTGCCCATACGATGCCGCATGCTCGTGAGTTGCACCCACCATGTTGCCGTCCTACCCAAAAAACGAGTAGCGACCAAATCAACCCGTCTATCCTCCAGGATCCCCTTAAATAGAAGCACAGCCTCATGTTCGCCTATATTCTTAAAGCTCAACCGCAAGTGTACGGCTTCGCTCGTAGTATGTGGCAAGCAAGGTCGTATCCCAAGAGACCAAACAACCAATTAATCAAGTACTAGATTATGATAGTGCCAATTTTATCTAGACAACCGAATATAAGATTGATTAACTAAACTAAGAAAATAATTCAAAAGATAATAAATCGATAACAAGAAAACAACTAGAAAACACTTAAAAAGAATATAAGAGAATGGTAGATTCTAAGACTATGGGTTCAATTAACAGTTGGGTTCCTTCAAATATATCACAATTAACTATTTTC